ATGGAAGTGAATTTACCTATGATGCCTCAAAAGGATGGTTGACCTGTTATAGATCAAAGCCATACAAAGGGACGAAACTACAGGACTTGGAGCAATTCAATGAAAAAGGAGTCCTTCTCCAATACCGTCACAAGTCCTACCATCACGATCGTTTGAGAAATCGTCCAGATGGCCAAACCTGTCCCCGAGCTACGCACACTCCAAAGGATATTACAGGAGACAAGTTGTGCTCCTGCAGACTAAGACTATGTATTCATAGCAGTAAAAAGGCAGGTGATCAATCCTATATCTACATCTCTTGTAAAGGAGACACCCTCCACAAATACCATGCCAAACCTACAGCCGAGTTACCAATAAAAGCACACAACCTCACTGCAGAAGCTCAACAAATAGTATGTGCCCAACAGAAGGCAGCAGTTACAGGTACGCAATCTCGGAAGACGCTTCTTGAGTTGAAGCATGACTATGTTTCTAGGTCTGCAACTCGATCCGTCATGATAACTTCACCAGAATACATTGCAGCCAAAGCTGCCAATGGAGCAAACTTGTCTGCCGCAGACTTTATACAGTGGTTGCCAACCCAGGCAGGGAATCCAGAGGTCAATCTGCACTATACCGTCCTATCCTATGAGATGACACCAACAAATGGAGACCTAGTTCAGGGCACTATTAGTAATCCAAAGGGCAGAAGGTCTAAGACAAATCCACCGCCAAATACTAAGACTGTGATGAGAAACCTGACGTATTCAAACACCCTACGAAGTCCAGTGCCTGGAGACAAACCTGTTGCTACTAGCCATACCCCATCTATTTCAGCGGACACAATTACCCAGAGGGAGGACTTGCATGCTATTGTACAACCTACCAATGTTGCAAACTTAAGTGTGGTCAAACTGGTTGAAGGGAATTCCATGGTTTCAAGGGATAGTAACAGATCCCTTTTCATTTTGGCACAGCAACATAAGCAACAAGCCAAAGTACTATCCCACTTCAGCCAATCGAGACCCAATGAAAAGGCAACACCTACGAAGGACAAGACGAGAAAACCTACTCCTCTACCAATTGTAAGTCCACCACCAATGGGTCCTGGGGGTTGATAAAGCAACAGTTTGGCCGTTTTACGTCCACATTGACTGTTACTGACCAATTGACACGCACTGAGTTCATTCACAACCAGCGGGAGGCCATAGAAGCAAAAGCTATCAAAGCAGTTTGCTCTAAGTTTGTGAGAGCCAAAGCAATGCCTGGTGGTGTAGGGGATACTACGAAAAATGTATCCAAGGCCATTCGTCCCCAGAAAACAGGGGATACTACAAAAAATGCAACTGAGGTCATTCGTCCACCAGGATTGGAGACACCAGCCACAACCAAGCCCCCACCAAGAGGCTTGTACTCAATTTCCAATGTGTCAATAGAGGAAAAAGAAAAAAATGTGTTTGCCAGGTCAGCAGAGGTGGAAGCAGGCCTAAAGACAGTAGCTCCGATGCATCAATTGATTACAGAGGCAGAGGAGCATATGAAGACCCTTCAACACACTATCCTTCTCTCCGGTAACAGAGTTATGCTTGGTGCCGCATGGATGGATGAGAATAACGGAAGTATTGTTCATTGATTCCACTCACAAGACCAATAATGAAGGACGCCCCCTTCTGCTTATTTGCTGGAGGGATAGTGCCGGCAAGGCTTTTGTGGTCATCCATGTTTTCATGCCAAACGAGTCACAAGCTTTCTACCAATGGATATTCTTACAGGCACTGCCAGCTATGCTTGGTGTTAAAAATCTAAAACGAGTGCACCTTATATTGACAGATGGAGATGCAAGTGAGTATAATGCTGTTGATCAATCCATCTTTTGTTATGTGAAGAATGCGATTTGGGGCAGATGTGGGCACCACCTCATAGAAAAAACATTCTTGAAACATGGCCCAAAAGATAATG